ACTCGTCTAATTCCACCTTTAGTAGAATATTTAACTATAGTTTTTATCATTTTTAATGGTTAGCTTTTGAGATATTTGAAATTTACGAAAATGGACTGACTGAAGTTAGTATGCAGATTAAACTAATATGCGCTTAAGTCCTCTGAAATGTAATAAAAACTATTTTTTCGTTTTGTCTAAAATATATGCTGAAACATGAATAAGGGTAAGGATCTAATAACTGCTGAAAACCAGAAAATAACAAAGTTATTGAGTAAGGGGATATCCACATTGAAGATATCAATGGAACCTGAAAGAGATAATCAAACGATAAATAAGGCTGTCGAAAATATAAGTTGAGAACTCGAAGCAAAGGAACTTTAAGAACTTGCTTCCTCGAGATGAACATAAACTAAAGCGAGTTATAGCGAAACAACCACATTTGACCAGCACTCAGATATTTGAGAAGGCTGGAATTGAGGGAGACAACAAAGACAAAAAGTGTAGAATACTTTGTGAATTGAGATCTGTAAAAAATCTTCTAGAAAACCTCCTTTCACTAAAACAAATATTTTAAAGCGTCAAAATTGGATAAAAAATATATGAAAATTGACTTTTCTAAAGTAATTTTCACAGAAGAATCTCGAATGACATTTGATGGACCTGATAGGTGGTTCAAAGGATGGATTTTTTCCAATTTAGACATGCCTGTTACTAAAAGCTGGCAACAAGGAGGTGGTAGTGTTATGATATCGGCTGGAATTGTCGATCCATCCATTATTAGACAATTCTTAAAACTAAACTGAACAGTGCTAACTATTTGCGATTTTATGAACAGGATTTTCTTTGCATGGTACAAATGTCAGTCTTGCAGTTTCAAAGTGAAGCGTGTATTTATGCACGACAACTGTCCTTCTCATGTATCTAAGCTTACCCGTGAATTCTTTGGGCATAAAAAGATTTACAGGAGAGAATGCAATGGAATGGCCACCATTAAGTCCTGATCTGAATCCGATCGAAAATCTATGGTTAATTGTGAAGTGAAATTATAACAATACAATAATACAGCATAGCAGATCTATGTGAAGCAATTAAAACTGCCATGTCAGAAATTGAACCTGCTGAAGTAAAGAAATTAACAAAATCAATGGATTATTGGTTGTTATTGAGAAGAAGGGTCTCTATATTAAAATGTAAAAGATTCAAAGTTTTAACATATTGGTTTGTTATTTATTCTATTATAGGTGTTGATCAATTTTTAATGATTTTATTACCTTTTTATTGAAGAAAAATGTGATTATTTGGTTTTGCCTTATAATTTCAAATTAGTATTTTTTCAGAATGACTTCAATAATTACAATAAAACATATTGAAACTACCTACAATTTTAACTTGACTTTGTCTCGAGATATACATTGATTGTTTAAAATTTGACATTTTTTTTCAAACCAAATTTGAATTATTGAAGTTTATGTGATTTGCTTAATAACTTCAGACAGAGCGCAGTATAGCGTGGTTAGTATGTCCTACTACACCCGCTATACTCACCTCACCTTTCGCCTTTCGATTACCGATTATTTTGATTTCTACAAAATTATTTTAATGGTAAAAACTACAATTCTCTAGAAGTCTGTAAAACCACTAAGACCAGAAGATCACCCAGAAAGACGCCATGTTCTGGGAGAATTAAGTCATGACGCTGCCTCAAAAATGGTAAAAGATCAGTCAGTTATGTGTCCTGCATGATACTCGCTTTTCGATACATGACCGACGAGGAAGAATTTTTCCCGCAGTAGGTTGCCATTTCTTTATGCGGTAGACCAGTTGCCATCCAAGGCTATATGTCCTGCTATATATCAATAGCTGCGTGGGGGGGATGATTTATAACTTTCCAAAGGGTATTAACACGTAAGTGAATGTAATCGATTCGACTGGAATTCGAACTAGGCTCTCTAATTGTTATGAGAACTTACCCATAATAATAATGGACTATTGCTGACATTATAAATACTGCGCCTCTCAAGAGGTATGAGGATATTGTAAGACGAGGAGAGATAATTGAGAGCATATTGTAAGGACATTCGAATAGTGATACTTGTCGAGACAACATAGTTCACTCTAACCAAATCTGATAGCCATTACTAATACTTCTACTTCATTGTATTATATTTCTGTTGTAATATATCTTTGTATTCCATACATGTGTTTGTGTTATTCTTTCATTGGTTCTAACCTTGGACCATCACCGTGGTACAAGGAACTTGGACCATAACACTAATTCCTCAATCCGAGCCGCTATCCATTACCCCACCTTAAATTATACTGGAATAAAATGGTGCATATCTGGTTGAATAATTCTATATACAAATATCTAAATATTGTCTTTGAAATTAAGTTAAAAAAAACCAAAACGCTACGCCCCAATAAAATGTGTAAAATAATTAACCTTTAGATCTTCATTCCAATACTCACTCTCTTATTTGTGTTATATCTGCTTATGAACAAATTTATCCGTTTTTCTTGTCTTTCTTTGCAGATTCCCCATATCTCTTTGTCAATCTTTTTTAATTCCCTCTTTTCAATATTTACGAATTTTCACATTCCATCTTGGAAATTTTAAAATCTCTATGCACGTTCCCATTTTCTCCTCCACCCCATTCATCTACCCAACCAGCTGCATCAAGCCAGATGAGGAATGAATAAATAAGTAAAAAATAGAATCTCCATTATTTGTGGTTTCAACAATGATGGAAGCACCCACCTTCTAAAAGCTTTTCTAACTCTATTGCAACGCCAAAACGAAAGTGAAAGTGAAAGTAACCGTCTCTGCCGCTGTCGTTGCAAGGCAACAACATCAGATAATTAACATCACTGGCAACTTTCTTCTCTTCTTATTTCGAATCATCTCTCCTTTTAAAAATATCCAGTTAAGATTTCTCTCCCATCACGTCAAACTTTCTTCCAACCGCTTCTTTCTTCACTTTTCAAGTACTTTCCCCGATACATACAACTTTAAAGGTATCACCTTTGACTATTTTTTCTTCTTTAACTTCTTTCCTTTGTTTGTTTGTTTGTTTGTTTCTTTCTTTCTTTCTTTTTGTGTTTGTCTTTTTCATGTTCAACTCTCTCCGCTTTTTCAACTTCGTCTTTTTTCATCCATTTCTTCCTATTCTGTTTTCTCTCTTTTTTTCTCTCTCGCTCTAACCACATCCTTTTTTTTTTTTACTTCTCTCTTTTTTATTTTTCCATCGCCCTTTTTCGAAGCATCAACTTTCATTTCATTTTTTACTTTCGCTTCTCCAGTCTTCTTCTATTCTGGTGAAAATATCTCACATATTTACAACTAATACCCGAGCAACAATGAAAGTTTTCCTCTTTCATTTTACCGCTTTTAATGTCATGTCAACTCTCTTCTTTTTTTATATATCTCTCTTTCTTTGTCTCCTTATAATTTCCTTCATATTCTTCATTCACTTTCTTTTTCAATCGACCTTTTTTAATACGAGCCGCTTTTCATGTCTTACACCCTAATTGTCGCAGCATCTTTGTTTTACCCTTCGAAAACATCTTTTTTTTTTTTTTTTTTTATAAAGCCTTTTCTTCAAACATTTCTTACGTTTGGTTTTCCTCTCGTCCATTAAGATCTTCTGCATGTTCCATCTTTTCATCTCTGACACTCCTGTCTTCAGAACACATTTCAACATGCTAAACATACGGTTCCATCCTTTTGACATCTGGCCAACTTGAATAACCAATATTTTCCTTTCATTCAGACAATATTTCTTCATTCTTTGCTCTTTTCCAGGAACTTGATGTATTTTTTTTATTTTATTCTCGTTTGTTTTATTTTCTTCTCTCTTAGGTCCAAGCCTACATTCTCCTTATTTGTAACTTTATTACGTTTTATCTTTCTAGAGTTTGTCTTCGCTCACTCTCCCTCTCTCTCTGTAACATACGTCTGTCGACGTTAAACATATATAACACTAACTCGTCACATTCTCCGTATTCTCGTCCACAACGGCAATTTTAGCTTTTAGAAAAGCCAGAAGTCGTAAAGAATCAAATCTGGAATGTCAGTGTTGGCGGTGACTGATTTTTGCCAAAAATCCTGCACGAGACTTGATCAATCTCCTCGTTCGGTTATTGCGAATCCGACAGTCATAATGCCTTCATGTTTTCTGAATAATGTATCATTATCGATTGAGATACCCCATGAGAGAGTTTCAGTTCTCGCATGCACAGAAAGGTCTTCTATGGTTGCTAAATTTTATCAAGGCCGCGGTTTGCGAGAAATTCAAGACATTCAGGAGAAAGCTCGTATATTTCACACGCACTTTTCGTTTTAATTTAACTTCCTATCCTCAAAAAAGCTTTTTTTTTTTTTTTTTTGCCAGCCCATTACTTTCCACGTTCTTCGACTTCTGTTTGCGTGTCTTTCTTGCCGTTATTTGTAAATTTCCTGTTTGTTGGCCATCTTCTTTTTGTTCTAATCAATTTTGTTTCTTTCGTTCTCAGTGAAAAATAGCTTTTCTCAATATTGGAACATTTTCTGCAAAACCGATCCAGTAAACGTCCTATTTCTCTCATTCCGTTTCGGCAGATTTCCTCATCCACCTTTTGCAGATACTTCCATTCAATTTCCTCAAATCGATAACATTTTCCTGCAAAAGAACAGATGTATAGCTATTCATCTGTCTATTCACACACACACACACACACACACACACACACACACACACACACACACACACACACACACACACACTCTAACATACTTTTATTACTGCTAACGTTATTTTTAGCGGAAACCCGTATTTGTTTTATAAACTGTGTTTATTTCTTCTAGAGGCACTCGAAAAAATATAATAAAGCAAATGTGCTGTCGCTATACAAATACGGGTATCCACTAAAAATAACGTTTGGAATAATAAAAAAATATGTCAGATTAAAAAATAAAATCCATTAATTCTTTAAAACTTGCTTTGTTTACCTGGTTAAAATTTAATTTTCATGTAAATCAAATGGAGAAAAATTTTAGTGGGTGGGGGTTGTGCCCCCAACCGGGGACTTTTTTTGATCAAAATGAAATGTACTTATCCAAGTATCCTATACCTGGGTAATGTAGTTTCAGAACATGTATGGTTATGGGGTCTGTCTCCAAAACCCTATAACAAAAAACAGACCGACAGAAGCTACAACTTTATATATTTATATTTTTATATACCGTACCTATGAACACGAATGGGGATGTCCCAATCCTCATGACTACGTTGAACACTATTGTAATTGAGGGTAATATGGTGTCTAAGTAGTCCACCACTAGCAGTGGTTTACCTACTTCACGCCGTTGGCGAGTATTGTATTTTGTTGATATTGTAAAGATTACCATTTCATTTCTAACCTCCGTTTTGATTATTCCTCATTCAGTAACCCTTTCTAGGTTACAACAAACACACACGCACACATATACATATATGTATATATATGTTGTAGATTTAATAGGCCGATTAATGAAATTTGAGGAATAAAAAGACAACAAAATGATAAGAATATTGGTAATAATATTGATGATATTTATTATATATTAGCCTTTTGACTGAAATACTTTATATTGTGTATATATCTATCTATCTATCTATATTATCTATCTTTCTTTATATATATATATATATATATATATATATATATATATATATATATATATATATAGAGAGAGAGAGAGAGAGAGAGATAGATAGATAGATAGATAGATAGATAAGAATGGATAGGATAAAAAATCTACATACATGTACATATATTTGCGCGTGCGTATAAATATATTTCTTCCACAGGTGTTATAAATGTACAGTGCTCAATGTTATGAAACAGAACTATAAGCATATATTAGTGAATATACATAATATCCAACGTGGATATCATAAGTCGGGGTTTTATGCAGTTCTTGAAATCTAGATGTTCTGCGTATTTGCAGTAAATGGTCTGAATCTGAGATGAGGTATTATGTACAATATTTACATTATTCGGACTATTGTCCTCTTCTTTGTCGCCATATTTATCACAACGTTTCTTCAGGTGGTTGGAATTTCGAACCGAACCCTTTATTTCGCTCACTGGGGTAGACTGTTCTAGTTCCACGTGCCATGTTTGTTTGTAGAACAGTCTACCCCAGTGAGCGAAATAAAGGGTTCGGTTCGAACTTCCAACCACCTGAAGAAGGCCGGAGCGTACAACGGCCGAAACGTTGTGATAAATATGGCGACAAAGATGAGGAAAATAGTCCGAATAATGTAAATAAAGTAAATGTTCTTTAATGAAAATATTATTAAAGACGACAGACATTTCGTACCGATTAATTTTAATGATCGACTTATCCAAATTACAAATAATCCTTCTCAGACAAGGAAGAAATTCCGTCAGAAATTTCCGAAGTCCATTTCGGAAGAAAAGTACAAGTACAGACAAACCTCTCATTAACGGACTAATAAGGTGATGGGGTGGTCCATTAAAGCCGATTGTCCGTAGAAGGGAAGGGATTATATTTAAGTTATAAAAACGCTATAGTAACTACCACTTGTTATGATCATAATGTAAATACTATAAACATGTATATATGGCATAAATAAATATATACTCAATATAGATATATTAATCAAAACAACAAAAATAATAGATTTCTCACAGCTACTTTCTCACGCACGCTCTAGTGTATCGTACTTTATATACTGTACACCCGTCTTTGTTTACAATTGAAAAACCCGTCACCGCCCCCAAGCGGTCACTTTGAGAACTAATGCTACTCGTTCCGTTTCCTGTTTTCAATTTTAAGTAACGTAGTAAAAAATAAAATAAAAACAAATAAATAAACAAGTAAACAAAATAACAATAAAATAAGCAAAATTAATTAATCCAAACAAATTACCCAATCACACCTGTTAGAATAGACGAAATAGAATAATAATAATAATAACAAAAAAAAACAAAACAAAAAACAACGAACCCAAATAAATAAAGTAAATAATAAACAAAATAGCAAACCATTATGACCAAAATATTAGTTAGACTAAAAATCAAACCAAAAAATCGGACGAAAAACATAGCTATAACTATTAAATAACGAGAAAAAAATAAAAATAAAAATAAAAAATAAATATATAAATACTATGTTACTTTAAAATCGAAAACAGAAAAGAGAAAATATAGAAGTAAAATAAATTGACCTAAATTCATCCAAGTAAATAAATAAACTAACCAATCCCGATAAAGTTACCGTTAGAAAAAACAAATAAAGATAATCAACCCAAATAAACACAAATTAAAAACTGTTTCTGCCAAAATAATAGTTAGAATAAAACTACAACAACCAACCCCAAACGGAACAAATAGCTTTAATTAAATTCTCAAACCAAAACTATTAAATAAGTGATATAAACAAATTTTTACTACGTTAATAAAAAACACCGATTAAAAAATAAGTAAATAAATAAATAAATAAAATAAGAAACAAACAATAAAATTAAATAAAAACAAGCAAAATAAATTAACCCAAATAAATAAATAAACGACTTCCGGTAAAATAACCGCCATAATAGACTACCCACAATGCACCACTGACCCGTAAATAGCCGAGAAAAATAACAGCACACGTGGCCTGACGATTGCATATAGCATGAAACAGACTGTCGCCTCTAAATGTTGACTTCTATGTTCACTTTTATATATATATATATATATATATATATATATATATATATATATATATATATATATATATATGCATGTTTCATTAAAGAGGACAGACCAGGCATTGCGATTAAGCTTTTTATTTAATTTTTTTTTTTTTGTGTTCGAACAAGTGATTTCTTTTTGGTCACAGAGTGGGTAGAAACTCTCCAAATGTTCTGTCATTCCGATTATACTTTTAGCCATTATCAAGAATGATTTTATTTTTACTTCCCTAACTGGATGTATGGGCTGTGTGTATGTATCTAGAGTATATATATATATATATATATATATATATATATATATATATATATGTGTGTGTGTGTGTGTGTGTGTGTGTGTGTGTGTAAAATATATAAAAATAGGAAAGAACTCGTTAGGTAAATAATCCAATATATTCTGTTCATGCGTTATTTTTATAGATAGAATTATTTAAATAAATGTTCTGTTTATTATAAACAGTATTAATTACATTTATCGACCTGAATGTCCAAGAAATTTTGTAGAAAATATGCGTCCTCCGAGAAGAATAGAACCTGTATCCTACATGGAACCTTCATTTGGCTGACACATATTTTCTATGAAATTTCTCATACATTCAGGCCGGTAAATGTAGTATAAACAGAGCATTTACTTAAATATTTGTATCTATAAAAATAACGTATGAGCAAAAAATATATTAAAGTAATTGTCGGACTTATTCCATTTCATTATATATCGATATCTATCTATCTATCTATCTATCTATATATATGTATATACATATATATATATATATATAAAAGATAAAATGCCGATAAGTAATTCATCATTTCTCTTGGACCAACCTTAATTGTTTTATGACCCTTCGCGCAGAACTCTTCATTGCCAATTCAAGAAAGACATTCGGATTACTAACACAAAAACAGAGAATGTCTCATATCGAGAATATTCAACATTGAAAAACATAGGGAAAAAATTAATTATTTTTAATAATATGTGGAAATCTCCGCTTTTACCTGAAGACGGTCACGAGACCAGAAACACGTTTTGTAAAATTATGGAAAATAAAGCATAATATTAAAAAAAAAAAAAATCCACATTACAATCAAAAACGTTTGGGCACCTCTCTTCTCTTCTTTTTAATATACACACTTTTCTCTCGTTGGAACCACTACAACCTCTTTCTTTTACACACACACACACACACATATATATATATATATATATATATATATATATATAGTGTGTGTGTATGATTTCGTGAACAATGATTTATTTTATATGTTTTCCTATTGCAAGACTCCTGATAGACGGTTAAATCTGCACGAGACAGTCAAGTTTTGTTTCTGGAGCAGCTGCAAGAGAAAACATGATAATCATAAGGAGCTCCGGTTTTACGACGTTGCTTTTTTTCTCCTTTCTCAATGGATTACCGTAAAAAAGGCATCCAGTCTTGCATATGTAGACTTCAAGTGGAGTACAGTATGCGAGTTATTGTCCTACTCTTTAAACCAAATGCACATTTGCTATGTTTTGTCATAGTAGTAGTAAGTTCTATAGGTTTGTCATTACATTTGTATTCATTGCCATCCGATTTTAAAAACAAGTTGCAGACAGTACTCTCAATAATATTTAGAATAATAAAATTACTTACTCTTATATATTCTGAAAATTGAATTTTATGGATTGATACGTCAATGTTTTAAAATAAGTTACAGACATCCGTTTTTCTTGAAAATTATTTCTCAAGCAGATTAAAGCATATTTTGAATCTAAGCCACTGACATTTCCTTAAAATATTCTGAGATAAGCAACTTGTTATGATCTTAAACGAAAATGAATAATTTTTGTTAATTTATAAATAAGAATTAGCAATATAAAATGTTATCTTATTTTAAAGAAAGTTCAATTGAATTCTTCCTGGCCTATGAACAAAATGATCAGCTATCATTATCTGGCTTTCACCGAATCAGCAGCAGCTATTTCTGACCACTAGGCAGTATGCACACTTCTTGACTTTAATCTTTCTCTAAATGTTCTCTGGGTACCACAGCATGGGGTACTAGTTAGCAAAGATTGCCGGGTGGAGCATTACTGCTGAGTAATGAGTTCTATTCTCACTGGATGCCTCATGTAAAATTCGCCATTAAATAACCCAACAAACACTGACATGTAAAATAAGCTAACGTAAATAAATATACATTATATTTCATCTGGAAATGTGATGTTATTTCATAGTTGTAAGATATTACTGCAAGTTGTTGCGTATAAGAGGTAAAGACTTTCAAAGGTGAATGTCTGCTTACCGGTTTCCATTGTTCGTAGATATAGATCCGCCGAGTGTTCATAACATGCTGTATAATACAATTGAAATAAAGATTTTTAAAATTTAGGATTCACAATGCGTATAATACACTTGAAATAAATAATGCATTAAAATGAATAAATAAAGATTTTTAAAATTTCGTACGGAATAATTTAGTATGCATAATGCGTATAATACCAGATTGAGTCAAAAGTTATTTCGGAATTTCACTGATGATTTTTGCCAACTTATATCTCCATGTTATATCATTAACTAGCAGGAGAGCCCGGCGTTGCCCGGGGATGTAACAGTAAGAGATAGATCAAGTATCGACCATCATAAAGACTGAAAAATAAAATTGACAAAGATTATTGTTTAAGGTTGATGGACACGTATGTCTTAATTAGTTTTTTTTTTTGGGGGGGGTACGAATTAGTCAAACCCAAACTCAAACAAAAACATTGCTTTCAATCGTTATGAGTCTATCGATTGAATAGAATTTTATTATAAACAATTGTCTTGTAAATGGAATTTTTAAAGCATTCTGAATGTAAAAATAAAGAAAAAAAGTGTGCAAGACAATAAGAAACACTACCTGCCAAAAAAAAAGTGAAGTTTTGTTGAAATCGGTTGAAAAATGTAGGAAATCCGATCCCATATATAAATGAACACACACACACACAAAACAACCTGGGTTTTTATAATAAGTATAACTCGACCCCCACACATTCTGGCTGCAGAATCACATGTTTTCACACACACACACACACACACACACACACACACACACACACACACACACACACACACACACACACACACACAATCTGCGTTTTATAATAAGTAAGATTTGATACATTTGTCCAATCATTGCTGGATCGTTTATTCTATATTTTCATATATAACATATAGGCATTAATTGTTTATTCTTTATTTAACAGCTTTGATAATGAGTGGGGGGAAATAACAAGTAGAGCTATTTTTATGCTACCTGTCGAAAAAAAAAGGCCTGAGAGCAAGGGCAGCAGCCATAGAAATGAATGATGTGGAAAGTCCTGTCAGCGAACGTGTGGTACAAAACTGGTTCAGACGTTTCAAGGAAAGTGACACCAGCTTAAAAGACAAACTGAGGTCAGGGAGAGCTTCTGTTGTCGAAGTTGAGGCCTTGCTTGAAATGGGTGAACAACAGCCAAGCACAAGCACTCGTACATTGTCAGCAAAAGATGGTCCTTCACAAAGGTCATGCTGTGAAGGCTGACTTTTATGCTCAACAACTGCAGAGAGTATATAATGATTTAAGAGTCCGCTATCCGGCATTGGTCAATTGACGACGTACATTCCTACAACAGGACAATACACTGCCAATGTGACCAAGTTCAAACTTGAGTGGTTGAAGGTACTGCTTCAACCTGCCTGCTATCCAGACTTTGCACCATCAGATTACTACATTTCCCGGGCTATGGATCATTTCCTGCGTGGACGGAGGTTCAACAATGTGGATGAGATTGAAAATGGGTACAGATTTTTTTTTTGCCTCTTAAGCACACAAATGATATAAGTGTGAAATTGTCCTTCTGGCATAACCATGGCAACAGACAATAAACTATGATGGGATATATTTTGATGAATAAACGCTTTTTGTATGTCATTTTTTTAAACTATTTTTTAACTCGATAAAAATTTTTGACTTAACTTAGTATACTTGAAATAAATAATACGTTGAAATGAATAAACGAAGACATTTTAAGAATTTCGTACGGAATAATTCAGGATGCCCAGTTCAGGATGCCAAATTTAGCGTCCTGTTTTTGGTAGACATAAACGAATCGAAGCATAAATCTAATTTCAAACAGAGGAATAGAAATATTTTTTCCAATCAGATGAGATTATACTCCCAACATTTTGACAACTTCTGATTTGAAGTGTCGTCATCGCTCATGTAAGATGTTCTTTACAAAGATGTTAGAAAAAAATGGTCTGAAGCTGTTGAAAGTATAATGAATTTGCTTCTTTTTTTTTAATAATTTTTTAACATTTTACTTTATATTTATTGAACCTTTCATTCTCTTATTTTTTCGATTAGTATTTCATTCATTCTTTCTTTTGTTGTCTTTTTTTCTTTCTTTTCTCATTTTCGTTCTCCCTTTCTCTTTTCATTTTACGTTTCCACTGTCATTTTTTTTATTCATTCTTTATTTTCTTGCATTATTGCGTTTCTTTCTTTCTTTCTTTCTTTCTTTCTTTCTTTCTTTCTTTCTTTCTTTCTTTCTTTCTTTCTCATCTATTCGCCTTCTTTTATTTTAATTTTTTTACTTGTTTCAATTTTGTTTTTCTTTCCCTTTTTTCTCCCCCTTTCTGTGTATTTCTGTTCATTTTTTTTACCTCTATCTCTTTGTTTCGTTCATTTCGTCTGTTGTTTTCATTTTTTACATTGTCTCTACTATTTCGATTTTTATTTTACGCTATTCATTCATTCACCCTCTTTCTTTCTCTTTCTCTCTTATCAAAATAATGCCGAAGACATTGTTGATGCGGCCATGACTTCACTGGAAATATTGAATGTTACGACTGCGGGCCTTCAAAGGATGGGATTATATTCAAGATGGCGTTTCCAGTATGATGAACAGGAGAAATAAGATGGAAAGACGCCCAGGCTTCCTACATACATTCAACACAACGAAAATCAGCCCCTTAATTGCCTTATTGAAGCAGTTGCTTCTCTTTAACTTTGTAAAACCCTTTGTGTCTTGTACACAAGGCCAAGGTCAAAGAATTTTATCATTGGTTATAAAATTGACTACAATCATGGTCATCATCAATATCATCATCATCGACGTTGTCATTGTAATTTTAAAATTGGTTGTTAAATATTAACAACGATTCATCTGTGCAAATTCGCATATTTTTTTAAACGTTTCTGTCTGAGATTTGGATGAAAGTTTATCTTAAAAAAATTCAATGAATGTTTTTATCTGGGACTTCTTGAGGAATTCTTGTTAATATTTGATAAGTTTGCTGAACTCTTGCCATTTTTTGTTTTTGCTCAATGTTTTTACCTAAGACAATTGCTTTTAAGATGTCGTAAGATTTTACGCAGCATCGTCGATAGAAACTTTGAGAGTTCTTAAAATTCTTTTAATGTTTTTAATTATTTCCAGCATAATTGATTTTGTATATTTTTTTTTTTTTTTCTTTTATAGGGTAGCGCAACGGTTATTGACACAGAGAGTGGAATCAGCGAACCGTGTTCAAGTTTCGGCACCATCTGTTGCATTCACTTTGCAGTACTACTCTTGGGAAAGGCATGGATTCATCCCTCTTCTAGATATAGGTTACTTAGCACCGTAGACTGGACTCTCTAACCTTCAGAAGAAAGAACTCTACTCTGAATTTCAAACCGCGAAGAAGGTAACATGAAGCCGTTCTATTATCAGTCCCAACAAGTAATAGCAATTCACTGAAAATAGTGAAAAGGAATATGTGAAGAGCCTTGATCGTTTACGTCCTGAAGAAACATAGTATTTTAAGAAAAATACGTTTTTGACTGTTCCTTTCTGAACTTCTTCAGCTAAAACGTTGCTCAGTGTCGAATCTCGTGATCCATTTACTACGTTAGATGGTGTACAGCTAATTTCCTCTCGCGTTTCTTTTTTTGTTCACAAATTTAAAATAGACCAGACGCAAGATCAAAACAATTTGATATTCTCGCTTTGATATTCCGAAACACACGCATACAAACAGAAATTGTAATATACTTTAAAATGTGATAAGAATCTAGGATATTAAGATTATGATAAATTGAAAGTTTTAAAATTTAAAACCAACACCTGTGCGTCTATATTCAGCTACAGACACACATACAGACAGATACACACTCTGAAACGCACATTAACACGTATAGACGCCACAGCATGCGATAAGATTTACCTAGTACAGTGTAGTTGACCATTACTACTGAGTAGTGAGTTCGATTCTTACTGGATGCCCTATACAAAAACTCGATATTAAATAACCCAACAAAGGGTGACATATCTTAAAATCAACCAATCTAACCTCACGTGTGTACATACACAGAGACACTCGCATACAGATACAGGTATACATAGCAAAATGTACATATACATACCCACAGAAAACAATCGGCTATGAAGAAAAAGAGTGGTGACTGTTTGAAAATAAACATTTTTTTTTATTAAATTAGAAAATAAGTCTTAGATATTTAAGACTGTCGCCTCAGATTGTTTTAGGCTTATTGGAACATTAAAGATGTAAAAGAAAAAAGAATCAATAAAAATAAAACTGTGCACACTAAAAGTCTGTTAAAGAGTTAATATTTATTGCTTACTTAAGAAACAGGACGATTTCGTTCGAAACAAAGAAAAGAGTACTGAACTGTCATTTAGCAACCTCAGTATTCACGTCACAGTTGACTTGAGGCAATAGAAATATGGTTCAACTGAAGGATGGTGAGAATATCAATTAACTGAACATGTAAGCAACGACAACGTTCTGGGGAGATTGGAAACAAAAAGGACACTTTTACATAACACCAGAAAGGGACAGTATAATTTCTAGAGTACATAATAATTAATAATTGATTTCGATCGGCAGGTGTGTCTGCAAAATATTTTCCCTCCTCTTTTATAGGCAGAAGCATACAAATGCATGCTGGGATTTTTCTTAGCCAGTAAAATAGGCCGGTTTGCACTTTCACATGAATCCCCCCGATCTGTCTTGTCCAAATTCGGAAAAGATAAGCGAATGTAGCTTTCTGAAAGCTACATTCGCTTATCTATTCCGAATTTGGGTTTATGTGTCAATCTCTGTTAGGAGTGAACAATCTCCAGTGTTTGGGAATGTATTGCAAAACACTTGCCCCTCTCCAATTTATAGGCAGAAGCACACAAATGCATGCTGGGATTTTTTCTTAGCCAATAAAATAGGCCAGTTTGCAATTTCACAGTTTCACCTGACTCAGCCCTGATCTGTCTTGTCTTGAAGAAGCACACAAATGCACGGGATTTTTTCCAAGACAATAAAATAGGCCGGTTATTGGTTTCATCTGACTCAGTCCCGACCAGGTGATCGTACAAGAATCGGTGTTTCAACGTGATATTGTGATTTTTTAAGCGTAGCTTAGATATGGCACAAGGTCGAAAGTAAGGGGCACTCACTGAGAATCGAGCTCACTACCCAGTCTTAATTGTTCTAGCGAGACAGGTTTGGTAACCATTACCCGACGTCAAGGTGCCCCGTTTTAATGTTATATGGCTGGTGCAATATTATCGTCGGCACCCGCTCGTATCCGAGCACTGGGTCCGTTATTCACTCTCCATATTCCTTTCCTCTTCCTGGTGACGTTGGCTGAGATGGTGATGAATTAGTTTTAGGAGGTTCTCATAAATATGGAACATATTCCAAAATATAGATTTATCCTCCAAGAAAATTTGCTTTTAATTGATGGGCATGTATATACAATATTTTCTCGGAGTTCAAGACACACTAGCTTCCATAACATTTGTCTAATTTGCCAAACTAAATTTTCAGGTAAAAAAATCAATAAAAAATCTACTAAATAATTGCAAAGAGCAGGTTTGTATTTTAAAATGACATCGTATCAATTTCTACTTTATTAATCAACTCGAACATTTTATTGAATCTACAATATGACATGACCAACGAGTGAACACATTCAAAACAAACAACGATTTGTTTCGTATCTTACTTCTTTCAGAGTAATAAACATCTTGCAGATTTGCTTTAAATTCACAGGCATCCTATCATATAATAATACGCTCTGTCAATACCTAATAAATAATAGACTATTCCATTTTGATCGCGTAAGAAGAGGGAAAAGTCATTACTTGTTTTCTGTGAGAAAAAGAAAGAAAGAAAGATTAAGCTGATAAAAACAGATGCTGAACCTTGTTCTTAGCCAAAAGCCCAAGAAGCGATTGTATGTTCTTGCCGTTCCTCATATGACATAAGGTTAGTTTAATATGGGCAGCCCGATTGGGTTCACACAGACCAGATCCCAAAATATCCCAGCCCTTGCAACCTCCGGCTGACTGGTATCGGTATTACTACCGCCCCTCCCTCTTTAGTGCGATAGGTAACACTCAATATTTTCATTCGCGCTCTGTCCGCAGATAGAAACACACCTGGGAGATGAAATGTAGTTTATCCGCCCGAGAGCAGATACTACACTTTGATTCCAGCCAAAAGACCGAGAACGGATAGTGACCTCGAAAAAGGCGGCATTTTTCAGACGCACACTATCGAACGACGGAAATCGATTAAGGCAATCGCCAAAAATCTAATTACCATAAATAAAATAACATGTCTACTGAATCAATTTTTAATTATTATTAAGAGAAATATTTGTAAGCCGGGGATTTGGCTAGTGAAAATAAATAACACATAATAAATTTACACTGTTAAAAGGGTTAGCAACTTCATGATTGGTTATCGTAGATGTATCAGTAGTAAATTGACTGTTTGAATTTAAGCCACCGATGCTGCTCTCACACCGATAAGATTTTGATTGTTTATTTATTCCATTAAATATTAATTTATAAAGACTACTCCTGTTGCTATTGTTGATAACACCTCATATCTCTTCTTTTTATCTGAGTGCCAGGATTTGTAAATGTTCAACAGTTAAATAACGTCCACATTGAATGATACATAAAGGAAGAAAAATATTACTCAGACACAAAAGTGATCATTGGAAAAAAGAAATTAATGCATTGTTTACGCCGAGAACAGTTCATTGCAACCTTCTCCACATATGTAATAAGTAGCAATTAACAAAAATATAAAGTTTACATTATGGATGTTTCTTGAGCCAAAAAAACATTGTTGTCTAGAGCAGCGTTTTTCAAACCCACGTGCAATAATCGAAGACAAATTCTGTTTATCAGGTTCATTTATTTAGCATCGACAATTTATATATGTATACTAGCAGTATAACCTGTCTTCGACCGGGTGTTTCATTACTGGGAATATTTGCCGTTCAAATGGAGCAGTTTAAACTCAGCCCACCCAAAAATCAATATTGGTAACAACAATCGGGTGCAACTGAGGCACACACTAAAATGGTGGTGGTGGGGGGTAACAATTTGAAGGCGGGGCGGTGGTCCTGAAAGCCCGTTTTTGCGTTCTGAATCTTGCAAGGAAGGAACCTCTTCCATGGATTGTCATAATAATAATATACGATAATTTTTATTAATAATATATTCTTTTTTATAATTCTAATAATCTTTTGCGTTAGATTTCAACTTTCCAAATTGATTGTACGCTGTTTTTTTGACTTTGATTTTTGTGTAAAGTGTAAAAGATCATTTTTTTTCGACTTCAAGGTTGTAATTTTTTCGAGCCAATTTGGACTCAAAATCTGCACTGGAGAATTATTTATCAAACAAAAAAAAGATCATCTAAATCGGGTGAAAACTGTGCAAACGCATAAACAACACCCGATCACACAGACACACAGACAGACAGACACACAGA